AGCTTGATATGGCTTGGTAGAATATGAAGTATACTTGGTGAAATAGTGGTCTCACTACATGAAAAGACGTATCTGGCAGATTTACTTTTTATGCTTTTTGAAATATCATTGCCTTAAACCTGCTATTTCGCCTAGACAGAAGAATTTATAGGCCATTTAGCAAGCATGCTAAAGAGGTATGCCAGTCAATTCTTAATGATATATAACTTGAAATGTTGCTGTTATACCTTAAGGCTCCTGACAGAAGGTGAAAAAGAAGGTCAGGCTCATTTCAGAAGTGTCACTTCCAATCAAAAAACAGACTTTGGGCTAGATTCTGGTTTGACAAGAATGATCACAGATGGGGAACTTGAGATGAGCATGAAGTCAAGAAGTCAACCTGTTTTTCTTAGAGAAGAAAGGAAAAGAAATGAAATTGTGCCACATGTATACATAATGGGCTGTGTAACAAGAAATAAAATAAGGATTAATGAGAACTCCCTGGCAGTTTTGGTTTTTTTTTACTGAAGTCGGACCATGCACCTAGATTTGCCGTAACTGTTTTTTGTCATAATCCTCACTTTTCATATGGCTCAAAGAATAAATCTGTTGGCAGCAGTGTGCATGCCAGCAGCATGAACAACATTTTCAGCACTGGAAGAATCAGTTTCCATTTGAAGAGTGAGACAATACAAGGCAGAGAGGTTGATGTCTATAAGGTCCTAGTCAGAGATGATGGTGTCTGTGGCTGGAGAGCTTATTGGGGTGAGGGTTCAGTACTGGCTGATCACAGTTAAGCAGCAGAGAAAAATGAACAAACCAGCAGAGAATTACAGTCCTAGAGGTTTGAGACAGAAGTCAGGTAAGTTTCACTTATTTTTTCTGAGGTCTTAAAAGAAGTTTTGCTTTTTGTGATTCCATAGATAAAAACAGTGCTATACCTGATTTTATCACAAACCTTCAGAAGGTTTGGGCATCTTCTAACATTCAGTTTGTGTGACCAAGCAGATGCCTCAGAAACCTCTCTCAGCTCTAGTGAAGTAATTGTGGGCTCTTTTAACACCATACACCTTTATTCTGAAATGTGGAGAACACTTGTTTCCTGTGATCCGAAGGGAACTCCTTAAGTAATTTGAAAGGTGTCATTAGACCTATGATCTGAACAAAGACACCTCTCTTACTTAATTCCAAGATGTACAGAAGTTGCCATTATAGACAGCTGACAGACAAGTGATGTCATCAATAAAAAATGAGTTCCCGTTTGTTTTTGAAAGGCCTTTCAAAGAAACCACGTTTTATACTACCACTCAAGTCTATCTTTTCCTTCAACTAACTTTCATGTGACTACAACTGAAACATGACTTAGAAAAATTGGGATACTTGCTCCCTAAATCATAAAACAAAGAAATCAACTTGTACTTTCATTATAGAAAAAAAACATGAGAAAGTGACTTAAATATCAAGTTTCTCCTGCTTTATAGCTTAAAAAACAAACTCCCCTGCTTTGTGAGGGGATTTTTTTTAAGTATAGAAAACTGCATCTTCATCCACATCCTTTATCTAAAATGATACATCTGTTTTCCTTTTGCAACTACAGTAGTTTTGCTTCTTTTTCTTTTACTAACACTTTTATCCAAAAATTAAAGACTACATCGAAACTGCACAAATGGAGTCCAAGAAAATACATAATAATGAAGAAACAACTTACAGTGATAGTGTAATAGGAAAATTCCAAAACTACATTCACTAAAATCTGAACATTTTTTTCTCCACACTGTTTGGTACATTTTATCTTCTGAGAAAGACTAAAACAGCAATTTTCTTATTCAGAAAACCCTGTGCACTGCCAAAAAAAAGAAAAATACCTATACCCTGAACACAGATCTTCTGGGTGTGTAAAATGTAGCAACTATAGACTAGATACTACTTCCCTGTCTTGAGGTGTCACAACTGACAGAGATGTGCCTGTGCCCTGTGCTTTGTCTGAAAAGATAAAACTCTCAAATATTAAAAAAACCACGAAGACAAAGAAGCAGAAAGAACAGATCTTTTTAAACAATTGAAGAATTCTATCCACACTGGACAAGTGCTTCTGAACATACTTCTGTACTTATTTTTACAAAATAAATGGATAAATAAGTTACTTTTACCCTAATAAAAAAACAGTTTGAGTTATCTTATGCTATTAATATTAATGTGGTTACATGAAAAATATTGCTTTTCTTTTCAATTTTTGAGGGTAAGTTGGGAGAGCTGTTTCCATCACAGTGATCTTGCTGGTATTGTTTTTAGTGGAACTCTAGTCAACTTGATAATATATTAATTTGGTAATATACTTCAAATAATTTGGAATGTTCAACAACAGTCAAGGATTATGGGGTGAAAATAACCTGCAGAAGGCTCACAAGTCCACCTTAAAATACCTGAACTGAATAATATCCACATGTGAGAGCTTGAATATGGCAAGATGAAGTAGGGTGTCTGGATTTAAAGGAAATTAGAATAAAAAAGAAAACACCTTTATAAAATGTTTATAGTACTTGTAATACAAAGCAGTTCTATGCACAACAGAATCAGTTCTGGAAAGAGTAAATTTATGTCCTTGCTACAGAAAAGCCTAGTGATCATAAACCTGAAAATATGTGTGTAATTTTATTATTCTTTGGATTTAAAAAATTAAATAAAATTCTTCTAACGAGGCCACCACGAAGAGCTCTGAGGAGACCTTTACCATGCAATGTGCTGCTAATGAGCACCCACAGAAACAAAGAATATCTAACAACAGGCAAAAGCATATACATTGTAAAAGTAATCAGCCAAAAGAGCTCAGTTCTTTGGCCTGGAGGAGCAAAAAAAATGTTTTTAAGGGAACCATTACAGTACAGAGCAGCCCTATGGGAATACTGAAAGAGTCATCAGTACAGAGTTAAATTATGAATCTCAGATCAAAAAGTCGCAGAAGAAATAGAAGAAGACTTAATAAAGACTTAAGATAGTGTGTGTGCATGTGTTAGTAAACAGAGCAGCAAAGAGCAAGCCAAGTTGCAGTGTGACACATCCATATCCATACATGCTATTTTTTCTCCTGCACTTTGAATAACTGCAAGCACAGTGTGTGAGAACTGTTAATTCAGTAACAGGGATGATGACTACTTCACAGGGTAAAATTAGTTTGCTTTGTCACTTCTAATCTCACTGTAGACAAATACAGGAATCCGAACAAAAGGCCATAATAAATTCAGGTTATCTGATGATGGGGTATTTAACCAACATCATAGGCTGGGGATGGTGTGGCTGGACAGTGCCCAGGCAGAAAGGGACCTGGGGGTACTGGTGACAGCCGGCTGAACATGAGCCAGCAGTGTGTCCTGCTGCTTCAGAAGGCCACTGGCATCCTGGCCTGGATCAGGAATAGTGTGGCCAGCAGGAGCAGGGAGGTCATTCTTCCCCTTGGTACTGGGCACTGGTGAGGCCACACCTGGAGTGCTGTGTCCAGTTCTGGGCCCTCAGTTTGGGAAGGATGTTGAGACTCTTGAGCACGTCCAGAGGAGGCAACAAGGCTGGTGAGGGGCTTGTAACACAAGCCCTGTCAGGAATGACTGAGGGAGCCGGGGTTGTTTAGCCTGGAGAAAAGGAGACTCAGGGGTGACCTTATCAATCTCTACAACTCCCTGAAAGGTGGAAGGTGGGGTTTGGTCTCTTTCACCAGATAGCAACTGACTGAATGAGAGGACACAATCCCAAGCTGTGCCAAGGGAAATAGAGGTTGGATATTAGGGAAAAAGTTTTTTACAGAAAGCGTGATCAAGTATTGGAATGATCTGCTCAGAGAGGTGGTGTAGTCACCATCCCTGGATGTGTTTTAAAAAAAGACTGGAGTGGTACTTGGTGCCATGGTCTAGTTTTTGGTGTTAGGGCTGGGTTGGATTTGATGATTTTGGAGGTCTCTTCCAACCTAGTCATTCTGTTGAATTGTGCTATTCTTTTGAAGAGTAGGTGAAATTAAAATCTTGCTAGTCAAGAGTGCTGCATTTTTCAGTATCCAAGTTTTAGCTTAGTAGTATTGCTATAACTTTTCCACATTAACACAATTTGGCTTTAGGAACTCAGGAATATTTTCAGTACTGGTTTACATCATTTATTCAAATACCCTGTGCACTTAATTGCTCACTCAAATAAATATTTTCTTTGAGCAATCTGAAACAGAATGCTGTAAATAAATGCAATAAAGTGAGTAGGTATAGGACGAGGTGGAATACTTACTGCTGCCAGCATAGGCTGTCTGAAAAAGCCCATAAATTCGTAGCCATTCTTACTGCTATCTGCTTTGTGTACTGATACAAGAGTGTCTTTCTCTGCAATATAATTGTCATTATTCCCCAAATTATAAGTTCTTAATGGGATAAAAAAGGAAATAAATACACTTTAAAAATCAACCCACTCAAAATTACAACCTGTCAAGTAACTTGAGGAAGCAATCAAGACTTTGCTTTTCAGTTTTTCTTTGGTAACAACATTAAATATATCAAAATACAAATGCTTTTTTAACATTCACTTTAATTATTTGATTCAGCCCTATACAGTTTTCTCTCAATGTGTAGAAACATGGTACAAGACTAACTTTGAAGCAAGTGTATATTTACAAGCCTGATGTTTGTTTGCATCAAAGCCTTTCTACACACATGTGGCTCTGTGGAAGTACAGTGTAAAGTATATGCAGATTGCACTTTTCATTAGAAATGGCTTCCTTTCAAAGAGCATTTTATAGTATTTATGGCATTCACAGTGTACCCATGACTACAGTTTCCAGGTGCACCACATAATGTACAATTTCTCAAGCAAACATATTTCATTACTTGAGAGCCATACTCTGCTTTAAGCTCTCTGCTAATTAACAAGGGCAACAGTTTTATATATTATGTGTCATGCATTTAATTTCTAGTACAGTGAATTAATTATTTATATTTTAAATAATGGGCACTTCAACTACTCACAACACAGCTGCAAATAACTTTGATTACCTGATCTTGTGATTTCTTTTTCTTCTTCTTCTTCCCCCAGCACCCTGAACTCTCTGCATCTTTTCCATTGGCATCACCACAGAGTAATCCATCAAGTTCATCTGTTCCCATCTGCTGTCCCTGAGATGTTTCTGCAGCTAGCCTGTATGAGAGGTTCCTCAAAATGCACACACAGTTTTCAACGGTCTAAAAAATATGACAAAAAGAAAAATACAGAAAACAAAACCAGAAAAAAATTAAAATCCTCCCCTTACTCTGAAGACAAAGCAGAAGGAATTTCATCTATCTTTGCACGTGCATTTTCCCAGCACAATCCTTATGTGCACATTTCTGACTGCTCCCCAGGTAATCACAGGTTAAGAGATTCAGAAATTTTTATGGTAACAAATTAGTTGTTACCGTATCAGGACAATGCTTTTCTGGGAGTTTTTTATTGTTGCTCTGAATTTCACATTGGAGCCCCATGTGAAACAGATGCTGAAGTAAAAAGTGATCAAAAGAATCTGAACACTCCGAATATCAGAAAACTCCCACCTCAGTGAAGAGAAAATGCTACAAACAGAAAATGGCAATAGATTCTGGGTTTTGTCCTTTTAAAACCAGAAATAACCGTTTTTTTTTTCTGGCAAAAAATCTATGTAAACTGCCATAAAATTTGGATATGAGTTCCATTTCACAAGCACTTGTAGCATGAACAGATGATGTTTCTCCAGTCCCAAAAGTAGGACTAGAAATCTGTCTTGTTACTTTTACTGCTTCTGGCCAGGCTGCAGACAGATAACTTGTGTGCAGCCTTTTCCTTTCATCCATTTATTCCCCTAATAGGTTGTGCCTTCTGTAGAAGATGCAAGCAGGAATTCATAAATGGATGAGACCCAGTGAAGGAAAATTCACTTGTAATTCAACCTAATTTCTCCAAGTCTAAAAGAAGTTCAGTTTAGACATGAAACCTACTCATTTAGCTGGTTCAATTTGGTTTGATTATTCCTAATAAGAAGGATATGAGCTTAATTTTCTGCACACAAGGAAGGCATGGCTAAAAAAAGCCATTCTCTCTCTATTTATATTTATTTCAACTGTTCCTAATGCTCCATGGAGACAAAAAGCAATAGCCACTACATCCAAGCTCTTTTGCTCCATTAACCCAGAATGGAATGACTGTGAGGCTTTCAGTTCTATCATATTCTACCATATTCACCAGTGAGGCAAACAGATGGGGCTTCATTTACTTTCATATATGACATGAGCTTCTGCCAGGTATGCATTCAGCACACATTTTTTGCGATGATATCAAGTTCCAGAGGGGATACCGAATTCAGAGTCAATTATACAGGAATATTTATATATATCTATTTTTAAACATAAATGAAATGACATGATTTTGCAATACAATTGTACTAATTTGAAATCTCTGCCAAATATATAAACAGAAGTAGAAATATGTATGCGTGTGTGTCTGTGTGTAGAAAGTGTTCTTTGTGCACCTTTCATAGTTGAAAGCTTTACAAACATCACAGTGACCATAACTATTTTTTAGTTTGCTGCCTTTTTCTTTAACATGAATTTTATTCACTTTTGATATAGTATGCTGAAGTTGAAGCTTTGCATATATTGATTAGAATACTAAACTTTAAGTTTCCTTTTCACAAATCAGAGTTGCTGCATTTACAATTCTCATTTTGTGGAAAACATAAGCAGAGTCCATCAAGAGGACAATGTTACCTTGAACTAAAAAAACTGATAAACAAACTTCTGAGGCTCAAATGCAACCACCTTCTCTATTAAGGTGAATTCCTACAAGCCAAGAAAGCTGGTTCCAGCCACACAGGTGGACAGACTTCACTCCTCCTTGACTTTCAAGGATCCTTGTATTCCTTATTCTGTTTTCAGTTTATCATAATGGGGCTAAGTACAAGTTCACTAGTTTTTCTACTCTAGCTACTTTTAAGCTACTAATGAAGTTAAGAACTCCCCTGTGTTTGGGGAGTGTTCTGCAGGAAGTATCTGGATGGGGTAATGGGGGCTGGCAACACCAAAGTGTGCACCAAACCCTGCTGCCAGGCTTTGCGCCCACCTTTTGGGTGGGTGTCCTTTGAGCATCCCTCTGCTAAACTTCTATTAATGGAAAATTGATACAGGCTAATGGGTTGTGGGATTTTTTGGGTGTTTTGAGGGTTTTTTTGTTTTTACTTTTTTGGTTTCTTTTTAAAAACACAAAGCTATTCTGTTAGCCCAGCACCTCATGCTATGAACCTTAGTTCCTCTCTCTGTCCCCCGAATTCATAGGCAAATGTCACCTATTTGGTTCAGGTAGTGACCAGAGACTCCTGGAGATTATTCCTCTCAAATCTATAAACCCATTGGGGTCCACAGACAAGTTTATGAAGTATTATTTGGAAATACAAACCCAGTGGGCTTTAAAACCTTGCTGCATAAAAAGCTGCTCTCCTGCAATTCCTAGGGGTTTGCAAATGGTCTAAAGTTGCCCTAGTAATTAATTTAGCACCATATACTGAAAACTAAACAAACTGTCCTTTTTCTTCTTCTCTGGAGTACTTTAATGCATTACAAATCTTCAATTTGTAAATGCTTGGAGTCTTTTTTATTAGGGAGTGCCTTTCACCTCTGGAGAAGCTTGTTCATATTCTAGCATTTTAAGAGAAGTAAAGCTGACATAATGAAGTGTATTAACATAGTTGTTATTGAAAGCATTCATTGGTCCTCTTCAAAGAAGAAGTAATGTTGGTTTTACTGCAAAACTACCTATTAATCTCCCAATTTTTTTATACTTGTTTGCCTTCTAAGCCTACCTCACTCTCATTAACTCTCATACTGGGTACTGAAAATCAATTTTAAGGTAAAACTGGCAGAACAATGTAAGAAACTTTACATGGAATATGATATATTTGCTCTTCTTAAACCAGTATCATATTTTCAACTTCGGTAATTCAACTGAGAGAATGACATGCTTACCTGTATACACTACACAGGTAGATACAAATACAATGCTTAGCCCACTAAAATAAACAGCTCAGCAAAGAAATTAAAAGGAAAAGATGGGATAAATTATGCTTTGCTAAGACATTCCTCACAATGCACTACAAAAAGAGTATCACAGAAAAATTCTCTCTTTATATTCCCCATGTACCCTGAATACCTGGATTTGCTGCTGAAAAGACAAAGGTGACAAACCTTACTATCAATTTCACTGCTCCCCAGAGCAGACTGGATCACGTACAGCAATGCATCTGTCAGGCCATCACACTCCCTCATTCTTCTGCGGGCCTCTTCTCCAGCAGAGCTGACATTCCTGCAAGGCAACAGCAAGGGTCACTAAATCCATGGCTCCCTGCCCACTGCCCCACCTAAAACCTTCTCACATTTCACATACAGATAAAAACCACATTTTCTTTCTTTCTCTCATCATTTCAGAGCTGTGAATAATGGAGACAGCTGCGAATGAGCTCAGGAAATGTAACGCAGAGGGGAACAAATGGAAGACATCAGGTCCTCCACAAGATGGGGCTGAGTGGCCAAGCAGCATGCGCCCACCTGCATGGCTCCCTGCACACGGCCCACTAGAACGAGCTGACCCTTCCTCCCTTCCTCCCTTCCTTCTTCCTTCTTCCTTCCCTTCCCTTCCTCATATAAATCAGGTTTTTAAAAGTCTAGAGGTTTTGCATATCTCCTAGCAACTGAGAGCCCAGTAGTTAGGGTTCTTAACCTGAGAGAAAAATATTATCAGAGCATAATATAAAACACCTGCTATTGCTTGCTTCTCATTTTACATGAGTGTTTCCTTTTCTCTTTCATTTTGAGAGAACATTAATGCCTCAATCTTTTCTTTAGGTAGTTTATTTTACATTGCAAAACTTAAGGCCTCAGATTATTATAACAATATTGTAAAACTTGTGTTCCTTAGATGGGGCCAGAGGGTCTTCTGACACATTTATATAAATTCAAGTAAAACAAAATTCACTGCATAACACATTGTGTCATAAAATTCGAAGTACTGATACACAGAGAAACAAATATGTATGAATGAGCATATACAAACAGAATCTATGTTTGCTAACATCAAGTCTCAGAGAAAAACTGCATGCAAATTTGAATAGCAGGTTTGATTTGGAAATGGGTGAATTAGCAATCTTAAGAATGGGATAAAATTTTTCAGTCTCCTTCAGCAAGGGAAGACAACCCTTTGCTGAGGCAGTTCACCTGTAACTCGTCTCCCCACTACTAAAGTTTATACAAAGAAAGAACATTAAAAAGTACACATACCAGACCTATGTATTTAATGCTCATGTGTGAAATGGGAGGACATAGGCCCTTGAATTTGGGAAGAAGGCAAGGCATTTTCTATCTTTTATATCATTTTCAATGACCTTTGCATTAAAGATGGAAAAACCACAAGAATCCTGGGAAGGGGGAAAGAATTTAAGATGGAGGAGGATGAGAGGACCTAGGACTAGGTTCCCTTTCAATTCTTTTTCTTCTCTATCTACTTCATCCTGTTCTGTCTTCTTGTTATCTAAAAAAAAACCCCAACATTTCCATTCCCCCAAAACAACAAAGAGTCTTATAACTGGACAATCCCCCAGTCCCTCCAATGCAGGTTCCTAATTGACTCTGCAACCTAAACATACATGATTCACCATATATACTTGCATCCCCACACAGTCCTAATTAGTGCTGTTCTCCCACACAAACTAGCCCAATTAATTCAATAGTGTTACCTTCACCTCAGAAGACAGCTTGACAGAAACCATATAGCCCTGGAGCACTGGAATGAATTACTGTATCTCTCTAGCAAACAAATTTACTCTCCTTGAATGTTGATATATTTTATATATTAGTAAAGGCCTGCATGCACAAACCAGCCTTTGAAATAAGTCATGATATTAAGGGCTAAAATCCTTGAAACTTGCCTGCAGAAGAGAGAGTAAAACAAAACAATATCCTTGTGTCTAGGAGAAAAAATGTAAACTGTGTGTGTTAGCCAATAGTACCTTACTCTGCCTGCGGACCCTGTAGAACCCTATAAAAGGTGTGCTAAAGATAGAAATAAACAGTGTTCACAATTACTTCTGTGAAGACTGGTGAATAGCTGGAGGTCTCTCAATACTTGAAAACCCTAATTTTTTTGCCACATTACATATCAGAAGCCTGCCCTTCATAATAGCTCGCAAGTTTTGTGTTGTCTGGTTTCTCTGGTCCTTGAACTCCATGCCTCTCCTCCTATCTCTCTGCTGCTTTAAGACTAGGAGGTGATTAGTGGTTTTCCTTCAGTTCATGGGGAAACTTTCTTCTGTTATCTAGGAAGTAGGGTTTGGAGAACATCAGAAAAACTCTCTCCCTTTGAAGTGATGGAAACTTCTGCCTTACTTTTGTGTGGCAGAAATAAGAAGGTAAAAATATAGAGCATGGTTTTCCCCAAACAGTGCCTGTGCATTTGGAGGGCTGGGGACTTCACCTAAAGTAGACTAGACCACCCCTTTTTAATGGCAAGAGCTCCAATGATATTCCAAAAGGGCAGAGTATGTAGAAAAAGCAGAATCATGGACTGGCAAAGCACATTGTGGGGTATATAGTGAAGACAAAATTTGGGGATATCAAATATTTATTTGGTATCTACCTGAAATTTCATTCTCTTACTCTCTAGGCAGATAAAGACAGAGGTAGGAAGATAAATATAGACGGAGAGAGGGCATTGAGGCACTGGTGCAGGTAACCCAAAGAAGTTATGGATGTCCCATTCCCTGCTAGTGTTCAAGGCCAGGCTGCATGTGGCTTTGAGCAAACTGGTCTAGTGGAAGATGTTGCTGTCCATGGTAGGGTGTTAAAATTCAGTAGTCTTTAAGATGCCTTCCAACCCAAACCATTTTATGATCCTATGACTCTATGATGAAGAAAGGAAGTTGTATCCAGCCCTACAAGAGCAACTGCACAAATTATAGTAGGAGGATATGCTGAGGAAGAGTTCTCAACGTGGCTTTGCACCTTTCTTTACACCACTATGAGAAAAAAACCTGAAATATTCCTGAATCCTTTTAAAAAGAGATAGATCTTCAAGTCTGGTCTGTGTGGGAACTGACAATAGTCAAATAAGAGATTTTAGGCTTCAGGCATTAGCTTGAGCCTGTGTGAAACTAAGTCACACAACGTTCTCACTCTGGCCTGAGAAATCATAAGGAGAAATCCAAACAATCCTTAGAGAAGAAAAACAACTTTTGCAGATGTTGTTTGTTGCCTTGTTGCTTACTTGCGAGAGACGGTCAAGGGTAGTTGTTCCTAATTGTCCAGTGATGGTGATGTGTTGGTTTAATTACCAATTAAGGACCTTTCCGGACCTTCTCAGACCTGTCTATAAAAGAAGATCTGGAAGAATAAAAAGTGCTTTCTTGTGCAACCAAGGCTAGCAAGTCTGTGTCATACTTTCGCCATTCCTAATATAGTACAACAAGTCTGTACTAGAATAATGTCTCCAGGCTTCTTTATCTTCTGCACTTACATATACTGAGTCCAAGCTTTCAAAATAGACTGATTTAGACACCAGTAGAAACAGATATATATAGTCTCCCTGATCTTCTCATTGAGGTGATTTTTCCTTCTATCACAGCCAATTGCGCATCACCTTGACTTCCAGAGCCCACAGAGACTGTCAGCCTCTCAGTTCCTCTCCAAGTTCACCAGAAACTCCTCCTCACCAAAAGAGAAATACTTATACTCAAGTATACTTAAGATAACCTTATACTCCCTGAACTGTGAGCTATCTGCCTCATTCATTTCCAGCATACAAAGAATATGAGGCGTTCACACAAAGCAATATAGACACACCAGGAGTACAGTTTGCACAGACAATGCATTTCCTTGCTCTGTATGGAGGAGCTGTCAAGTTGGGTTCTTCTGTTTATCATTCTTCCCCATTATGCTCCAGTTGCTCCTGTAACCAAGAAGTGGATATTCTGAATTCCCATGACTGCCTTTCCTTCTCTTACAAAAGTTGCTGTTTACTTTCTGCACTGACTCATAGCTACTACAGCCTTCCCCAAGATATGGTGCACTCATTTACATAGGAAATAGTTAAAAAACAAGACAAATCCAAGCCTTGCATCAGCATTTTGGCATAAATAATCAGTTGATTATTTCAAAAGAAATACATCCCAATATCTAGCTAGTCTCATGTCACCTCTACTGAAGTAATCACTGTTAACTGAGATCATCCACAAAGGGTCTCTAATATTGCCATGTTCAGGCTATGCAGTTTTGCAAAAAAGAAAAGTTCCAGATTACATGAGCTGTCAGAGAAAACATGCTGCCATCTTAATTTTATTTCTCATTGTTAACTTGGACATGATGTAGCTGTCATTGTGACAGGGAATAAGACATGATACGTCATTTGTGAATTTTCAGGTCACTGTGCAGATGTTAAATTGGAGCATTAGTAGTATCTACTGTTGGTAAGATGTCCCACTAAGTCAATGCATATTTTTCCTGTCAGTTTTCAAACACGTGAAACCATGTTTTCTGGAGGCCTTAAAGGATGTGGAAATATGATGCATAAGTTTTCAGGGAAAAAATATTTCTCCATTCTAAAGGCAGCCCAGCTTGATCACCCTGTATACTTTGATTGTTTGTGTAAACTCTACTTACAGTATATGTGAGCCATAGGCTGTCATTTTGAAACTAACAGGGCAAGGAGTCCTTCAGCCTGCCATAAACCAGTAAAATGAATCTCAAATAGAATCCAGTCATGCAGGAATACAATGAATAGAGAGGGCTGAAAAATAACTCTCACTTTAGTCAGAAAGTCCCAGTTATACCTCTAAAACCAAAAAAAGCTTTTTCTCAAGAGAAGAACACTATGAACAGATAGAGGAAGATGTTAGACGCATAGCTGATCATGCTTTTCTGAGCAAATGGCAGACTGACTTTGCTAATTACCTAGGAATGGGAAGAGAACTAAAATAATCCAGCTTCAGTTTCATGGGAAAATGTACCAACTATAATATCATCACCTGAAAACTAACAGCAGGCATGATTCTCCATACCTAAGGCATATCAATCCAAGGTTCTAGAGATATGGGGTGTGGTATAAAGGAGTGCACTGTGCAACACATACCTGACTCCTGTCAACCCTGAACTTGCATTTGTTATTCAATGCAATTGTCAGGCTTCGAGGTAGGGTAAGATGGGTGGTGCCAAGCAATTTATTTCTGTGTTAGGGTCCTTTTCCATACACTCATACAAACTGTGGGAGGTTCAGAGCAATGTCCTTATGATTCTAGGATAACTAAAATCATCTGCCTT